GCAGCTGCTGCTGCTGCAGCTGTTGCAGCTGTTGCAGCAGCTAATGCTGCAGCTGCTGCTGCTGCAGCTGTTGCAGATGCTGCAGCAGCTGCAGCGAGACACAGAGCAGCGACGGCCGCAGGTGCATCTCCAGACTTGCCCCATAAGTTGCGGGCTGCTGCTTGTGCCTAGGGTTTAGGGTTTAGGGTTTAGGGTTTACGTTTTTGACGATAATTGGCATCCTGAAAATGGTTCCTCCCAACATGTTTCGAATTGTGGCATTTGGGGACTTCCACATCTTCTTGAGGCCGAACTCTGCGCGCAAACCCTAAACCCTAAACCCTAAACCCTAAACGCTAAACCCTAAACCCCAAACGCTAGATCCTAAACCCTCTCCCCTTGACTTGCAGCCATGAATCCCGCGTGCCCGCAGCTTCGTCTGCGCGCGCCCCCTCCTGCGGCCCCAGGCTTTAGGGTTTAGGGTTTAGGGTTTAGGGTTTGCACCTTTGACTCTTTCTTCGTCGGGGGTGATGGTGGCGCACTTGACTCCAACTCCAACCCTCTTAATTGCTGCTGCTGCTTCCAAAGTGACTTTGTCTTCTGTTGCATCTCTGTTTTCCAAACTCAAGTCGTAGTACTCTATTGGCAGGTCCAGGTACTTCATGATCAGCTGCGCACAAATTAGGGTTTAGGGTTTAGGGTTTAGGGTTTGGGGGTGGAGGAAATGCGCACGAATTTGGGCTCAGGGTTTAGGGTTTAGGGCTGCGGTCGTAGTACTCTATTGGCAGGTCCAGGTACTTCATGATCAGCTGCGCACAAATTAGGGTTTAGGGTTTAGGGTTTAGGGTTTCGTCCAGGTATTTCAGGATGAGCTGCGAATAATCTAGGGTTTAGGGTTTAGGGCTACAGTCCAATTACTATACTGGCAGCTCCAGGTACATCACAATCAGCTGCGCACAAACTAGGGTTTAGGGTTTAGGGTTTAGTCAAGGTATTTCAAAATCCGGTGCGCACGAACTAGGGTTTAGGGTTTAGGGTTTAGGTTCTGAGATTTAGGGTTTAGCGCTACGGTCGAAGCGCTCTCCGAGCAGGTCCAGGTACTTCAGGACCAGCTGCGCACAAACTAGGGTTTAGGGTTTAGGGTTTAGGGTTTGAGCAGCAAGCAACAAGGGGAACAGATGCAGCTGTGGCGGCAGACAGCAAATCGGCGGGAGGACAGCTCGAAGAGCTAACGAAGGTCTTCAAGGGTTTAGGGTTTAGGGTTTAGGGTTTAGGGTTCCGGCTGACCTCTTCTTTGATCCAGTGCCACATGAGGCGAGCCATCTCGTCGCCGTCCATCTCCACCACAGGGTTTTCGACTTTAATTTTATGAATCTTCATTTTGCTAAACCCTAAACCCTAAACCCTAAACCCTAAACCCTAGGCGTCTGCTGCAGACACTTTCCGTGTTGGTCTTCCAAACACTCAAGGAAGATTCTGATTTATGTTCGCCGCAGCCAGTGTGCTGCAGTTAGGTCACCACTTGCCGCTGCTGCTGCTGCTGCTGCTGCTGCTGCTGCCTGCAACCTGGCCTATTTGTGTCGTTAGTGAAACTCAAAACCCTCGGAAGCAAAAAACTGAATTGCTGCTGCAGCAGAACTTCGGGTGTACGTACACCCCGCGTCGTGTTGAGACAGCCGCCTCGACTTCGCCTGTCTTCGTTGCAGTCTCGCGAAGCCGCCAAACCCTAAACCCTAAACCCCTGCCCGAAACCCTAAACCCTAACCCTAAACCCTGAAATCCAGACCCTAAACCCTTAAAAATGAATAGTCAAAACCCTATCCCATCGTATGTTTTGTCTGTTTAGCTGCTACATAAAAAGACCAAGGACCTGTGGCATCCTGCTGCAGACAGCAGCAGCAGAAGCAGCAGCAGCAGCAGCAGCACAGGAGTAACAGCAGCAAGAGCTGCTGCTGCGACTCCAGCCGCTGCCTAGCTAAACACATTAAAATATACATATTTTATTAACTCAAAATCAAAATTTGAGGCCCTAGGAGTCTGGCTAAGAGTAACACAACCATTGCAGCAGCAGCAGCTGCTGCAGCAACCGCTGCTGCTGCTGCTACTGCTGCTGCGGTGCTGCTCCAGCATCAGATGATGAAGGCTTCAAGTGTGCGCTGTCAAACAACAGGAAGCGCTGCACCTTTTTTAATTTGAATGTAATTAAATAGCAATTTGTTTTTTGGATTAACTTATCCGGCGCTGCGCTGCCGCTGGTGCTGCTGCTGCTGCTGCTGTGTCTCCCCGGGCCGCCACTGCTGCAGCAAAGTCTCGCAGCAGCTAACGGTTCCAGGTGCATGCGCACCCGCTGAAGACTGCAGCAAAGGCACAGCAGCAGCAGCAGCAGCAGAAGACTTCTTCAGCAGCCTCATTCTCTTGCGCTGCAGCAGCAGCAGCAACCAGCGCACGCAGCAGCAGGAGGAGGAGCAGCAGCAGCAGCAAGGGTAACCTGATGGGACATGGCACCCGAATCACTGCGCTGTACTGACTGCTGCAGCAAAATAAAATCCACGGGAACAGCAGCAACAGCAGGAACAGCAGCAATAGCATTACCAGCAGCAGCAACTGCAGCAGCAGGAGTCCCCTGAATAGCAGCAGCTGCTGCTGCACTGCAGTCAAAAAGGCCCCGTTGGCATAGCTTGTATTTGCCTGAGCTACACCACAAAAGCAGCAGCAGCAGCAGCAGCAGTAGCAGCAGCAGTAGCAGTAGCAGCAGCAGCAGCAGTAGCAACAGCAGCAGCAATAGCAGCAACAGCAGCAGCAAAATGACAGACCAGGAGCAGCAGAGCAAAGACATCCAAGAAAAGGCCCCGGTGGGCCACCCATGTCTCTGCTGCTGCTTCTGCTGCAGTTGCTGCTGCTGAAGTTGTGGCTGTATTTGCTGCTGCTGCAGCATTTGCTGCTGCTATGGGTGTCGCAGCTGCTGCTGTGGCATTTTCCGCCTATGGAACTGCTGCTGTTGCCGTGGCTGCTGTCGGTTCTGCTGCCACTTTTGCTGCTGCTGCTGTGATTGCTGCTGTTGCTGCCTTTGTGGCTGTTGCTGCACCTGTGTCCGCTGCTGCGGCTGCTGCTGTTGCGGCTGTTGCTGCAAAAGCTGCTGCGATTGCTGCTGCTGCTGATGCAACTATTTCTGCTTCTGCGGCTGCGCGGGTTATTGTCGCTGCTGCTGCTGCTGTTGCCGCTGCTGCTGCTGCTGCTGCGGGGCCCTCAGGAGGCTTCTTCATCATCTTGGAACCCCAGCTCGTCTCACTGGTGAGGCTGCTGCTGTTGCTGCTGCTGTTGCTGCTGCTGCTAGAGCTGCTGCATGACTCCTGATGTTGCTATTTCTGC